ACACTCCCTTGGGCTCAGAGGAAAGTAAAGACAAGCCCCAATCTGAATAAATCTTGCCAAGAAAGCCCTATTCACATTAGGTTTGCTATAAGTTGGAAACAACCCAAAGGCACACAAGCAAACATTCTTATTCCTTAATCTCTTGCTCCATGTACCTCTCGTACTCTGTTCTCATCCACCTCCTGGCTAATTGTCATACAGGGAGCATACAACTCCCCTGTTGTGTCAGCTCCACTGGCTGCCGATTTGTTACCGAGCCCAATTTAAAGTGCTGGCCTTGGCCAATAAAGCCCTAAACATTTCCAGTCCAACTTACCTGTCCAAATGTATCCCCTTGTATGAGCCCACTAGAATTTTAAGATCATCTGAGGAGGCTCTGTTCTCAGTCTCACCCTGTTCGCAAGTGCAGTTAGTGGGGACAAGAGACAGAGCCTTCTCAGTGGTGGCTCCTCAGCTGTGGAACTTCCACCCCAGTGACATCAGACAGGTCTCATCCCTTCTCATTTTTAGAAAAAAGTTAAAGATATGACTTTGCACACAAGCATTCGAAGAATAGTGACTACGGACTTCGACATGGTTTGAATAGGAATTATGAACAGGGATCTTGGATGAAAGGTACTATGCACTTTATATGTTTTAGTCTGTTTACTGTTTTAGTTGTTTATTAACCGTTTTAATGAAGGGGGTATGTTACTGTTTTTACTGTTGATTTTACCGGTATTGAATTGTACCGGAGTTGTAAGCCGCCTTGAGTCCCCTGAGGGGGAGAAAGATGGGGTATAAATGAAGCAAATAAATAAATTCTTTCATCTTATTTCTCCTTCACTATTTCTCCACCCATCAGTCTCATCTTAATGTCTTCTTGTTCTCTCTCTCTCCCCCCCCCCCCCCCCCCCCCCCCCCCCCCCCCCCCGCTTACAGCTTCTGACAGTTCCTGTTTGTGCTTGTCATCTCCCTACTCTGGCCATGGTGGTCCATGCTCTTTTTACATCCTGAATAGACTACTGCAACGTACTCTATGTGGGGCTGCCTTTGAAGACTGCCCGGAAACTTCAATTAGTCCAACGGTTGGCAGCCAGGCTGCTCACTGGAGCGGCGTACAGGTAGCATACAACTCCTCTGTTATGCTAGCTCCACTGGCTGCCGATCAGCTTCTGAGCACAATTCAGAGTGCTGGGTCTTAACCTTTAAAGCCCTAAACAGTTCTGGCCCAGACTACCTGTCCRAATGTATCTCCTGGTATGAACCATCACAAAACTTAAGATCATCTGGAGAGGCCCTGCTCTCGACCCTACCGACATCACAAAYGCAATTGGTGGGGATGGGGAACAGGCCTTCTCATCGGTGYCCCCCCTTCTGCCTGTGGAACGCTCTCCCCAGAGACATCAGAATGGCTACCTCCCTCCTGTCTTTTAGAAGAAAAATAAAGATCTATCTTTGGAACCAAGYGTTCGATTAGTGAGCAGCAAGTAAAATAAGATTGTAACACTTATGGCAATGATTTGACCAGGACTGGATTTTAGACTCTGATTTTAATAGGTGTGTGTTGCTTTAATTATTGTTTTAATATTTTAATGTATTGTTGATTGTTTTATTATTATGACGCCATATGGTGTTTGTGAGGCCACCCTGAGTCCCTCCTTAGGAAATAAATAAATAAATAAATAAATACTCCCCCAGCCTGTCTTTTGCTTTCTCTCCCTTCCCCCCTCTCCCTCCCTCTCTCCCTCTCAATAATGTGTTGTTAAAACAGTGCTTCCAAATATCTTAAATACAAAGCTGGAGAATTTTTGGTTTTTCTTCTGGTAAGAAACACAATAAAAACTCTATTTAGTCCAGTTATAATGTCTAAATGGTCTTGCAAGCAGTATCTGAAAAGACCTTAACAACAGAATATGGAAATGCTTTTTTCCTGTTCAGAGCAGAGCTTGGAAATTTTAATTGCCAACTAGAGAAGTATTTTATCATTTGCGAGGCTATAAGTGACATGCTCTGAGGACTTGTGGTTGATATTAATGCATCATGTGGATCATCGTATTTCCAAGTAAGATTGCTCTAGGATTATTCAAATTCTATGAGGTGCCATGACTGGAAAGTGGATAAACTGATCAAATATGCTTAAAGCTCAGAATTCTTTTCATTTAGTTTAATTGGCCATAACAATTTGTTGGCCCCAGTGAAACCCTTTTTTTATTTGTTTGACATTTCAAGGGATGCAAAGGACATCCTTTTCACTTCTGAATAACTGATCTCAGAGACTATAAGTCAAGAGTGACCGGCTTCTGGCACACCAAAGAAGAGCCATTCTAGTGAAGTACATAAACATATCTTGTAATCCTTAATACAATCAATATTAATACAACTGCTTAAAATTGTGCAGTGCTTCCATGGGCCCTTCCACACAGCTTTATAACCCAGAATATCAAGGCAGAATAACCCACAATATCTGCTTTGAACTGGGTTATCTGAGTCCACACTGCCATAAGTCGCCTAAGTATATCCCAGTTCAAAGCAGATAATGTGGGATTTTATTCAGCTGTGTGGAAGGGGCCTGTATGACTCTTATGCCTTTCCACAAATTATACTTTATTTTCCCTTTTAAAAATCCCTTTCTTTTTTCTATCAGTATTTGTTCCCTCATGTATTTTGGGACCCAACCTTTATTTAAGGTATGACCTTTGTTCCTACAGGTGTTCTACAAATCCCACAATCTTTCGCCAATAGCCAAAAACTTTCAGAGGGTAAAAGGATTCCTCAATACTAACCTTATGGATAGAATGAATTAGTAGGAGGAGGGACTGTGGTGCTATTTAGGTTTTCTTGAAAACTCGGGATAATAAAAATACAGTAAATTATGATGTTTGCTCATTTGGGGGGGCTAATTTGTAAGAGGGAAAAAACTCAACCATCTGGGATACTTTTGGATACTACTGAAATTGATGGGTTCTTGGATAATTCTCATCCATTTTAATAGATCTTCTGTTAGATAACCTTATAAGCTCACTAACTTGGATAACACAGCCATTTCATCTAAAGAAGTGCACATAAGATGTTTGCTGACATTTCCTCCTTATACCTTCAAAAGGACTCCTTGTTATGGCCAAAATAAGGACCCCCCTCTGTATGGGGGGTGGGGGGTGGGGTTACTGAAGAAGTGGGAACTTCTATCAGTGAACCCCTAAAAACCTCCTTAATTTTGTGTTACTCCCTCATAGAATCATAAAATCATATTTGGAAGAGACCTCGTGGGTCATCCAGTCCAACCTCCTGTCAAGAAGCAGGAAAATCGCATTCAAAGCACCCCTGAAAGATGGATATCCAGCCTCTGTTTAAAGTCCTCCAAAGAAGGAGCCTCCACCACTCCAGAGCAGAGAGTTCCACTGCTGAACAGCTCTCACAGTTAGGAAGTTCTTCCTAATGTTCAGATGGAATCTCCTTTTCTGCAATTTGAAGCATTGTTCCACGCCCTTGCCTCCAGGGCAGCAGAAGACAAGCTTGCTCCCATCTCCTTGTGAAAGCCCTCCAACAGCCTCTGTCTCATCCCATCTTACATGGCTTGGGAAGGCTTCTGGGAAGTGAAGCCCTCCCAATGGAGTAGTTTGGGGGAATAAGAATTGCTGAGAAAATGTTTCTTCTGTGGCTGTCACTAAATTAATTTATCTTAGGTTAAGCATGCATGGGAAGCATGCATATTTATCATCAAACATACCAGCAGCCTTTCCCTTGGTAATGCTGCTAATCATTTCCAGTAACATTTCTCCTCTCTTTGGAAATTGCTCATTGCTCTGAGACTCATCTGCACCCTTCTTAATATTTTCCTGAAGGGATCAATCTACAGAAGCCTCCAGGGCATCCATCTGAAGAGGGGATAGGCTCTCTCCAACCAAATGCCTCCAATATGCTTTCAGTGGCACCGCTAGAGGTATGTTGGTGTTGAAGGGCAAGTATTGACAACTGAAGCTAAACATAATGGATGCTCCATGTACACTAACAGCATTAAAAGTGCATCATCAATTCCTTTGTAGTGCACCAGGGAGACATTTGATTATGTGACGAGAAAAAAAAAGGAATTGGTATTGATGCATTTGCAAGTATTGGCAGAGCAGAGTGAAATATTATACAGTGATGACAGTGTACAAAGTAGTAACATAATTTGGTAGAAAATACACATTCAATTGACCACAACACATTTCCACTGTATCGTTCTCATATTTTATTTTTAAAAATGAAATACAGAGAACTAACACTGGCTGTCTACTGTTACCCCATTCCTCATATTTCTAAACTATCTTGTAAGTCCAAGAAATTGTATCCCGTTTGTATAAATGTTTTTCACTGCCCTTCTGAGGCTTTCTTAATACAATAGTTTTAAAAACACAAAGGTTTGAAACTTTCCTTGATAAAGAGATTTCTGTTTTTTACATACAGTCCTACTGGCTCCTTTGTACATCCCAAAGCCTCAGGACCCACCCAAGATGTTTGTAAAAAATTCAGGTTGAATTCCTGGCAATTTTAAATCAGCTCAAAGTACCACAACAGCTTGCAAATGTAATAGTTTGCTTTCCACAACTTCTCAAAGGCATCCTCACCAAACCCTCCAGATCATCCCAAATTGTTTTAAATATTTGGGCCTGATTTTGGGTTATTTTTTTTTTCATGTGCTGCCCCAAACTACTCATGGATGCAGGCATTTGCTTTTCCGACTCCCTAGAGTCCACAACTCTTCTCAACTGGCCATAATAGGTCAGTGTGGTTCATGGGAGAAACTGCACTACTTCCTGTACAGTTGCCCATTCCTTCTCCAGAAAGGGCAGATGTGTTGGGAGACTGCAGTATATGTTTCTTTTTTTTTACATATTTGAACTTTTCCCCCTGCCTATTTCATTGGGAGACCCAACAATTAAGACTTGAAAGTGGGCAATGGATGGCTATGACAATCGGGATGAACTTATTGCCATAATAAATCCCTCCCCACTATATGTTCTGTCATGTATTCTTACCTGAAAGTTACCAAAGCAGCTTCCTCCAGGGAGGGTGACATAACTCACAAAAGGCGGCCCAGGTGAGTTTAGTGACTCATAAAGCACGGTGCCTTCACTTGAAAATATTCCTTTCTGTTTCTGCTTATTCTCCCAGAATTCCTGAAGCATTGCCACAACATTCACTGAAAAACATTTTTAAAAATGAAAAAAAAAATAACAATGTTCAAAATACACTTTTAACAACATATTTGCTTTATTAATAGCAAACTGTTTGCCCATATTAGGAGGTAGATGAGGCCATACCCTGCATTAAAACATTTATTTCTTTAACTTTAAATGATATTGAGGGTATTCCATTAAAGCAGTGGTTCCCAACCTTTGGGCCTCCAGGTGTTTTGGACTTCAGCCCCTACAGTTCCTGACAGTTGGTAAGTTGGCTGGGATTTCTTGGAGTTGAAGCTCAAAACACCTGGAGGGCCAAAGATTGGGAACCACTGGGTTAAAGGATACTGTTTCATTATTCGGGCGGAGGCCACTAGGGGTTGCTAGAGAGAGAAGGATAGTCCATTTTATGGGGGTAGGCGGTGGATTGAAGGAGTTATACCATTTCCTCCTGTATTACTGCTATTCCCCCCACCCATATCCCTTTTGTGGAAACAACCCTCATTTATGATATGGGATGGGAGGAGGGAAAATCACTAGCAAAAATGGAGGAAATTGTTTTCCTCCTTCATCCTCCTCCCTGTAAAATGGACTAACCTTCTCACTCTAGCACCTCCTAGTGGCCTCAGCCTGGATACAGGATTTTTCAGAGAAACAGAGGCATAACTGATTCCATTAGATATACAATTATTCAATTATGTAACACAATGATGTATTTAATTTAAATTGTTGGTGCTGTTATGTGCCTTTGACTCTAACATATGACAACTTTCTCAAGAGGTTTTCTTAGCAAGACCTTTTCAAGGGGAGAGGACTGACCATAGCTTTCCTCTGTGGCTGGAAGAGTGTGACCTACCTAAAATTGCCCAGCAAGTTTCCATGGGGATTCAAATCTGGTCTCCCAGTCCTAGTCCAACACTCAAACAATTACATCATGCTGGGTTTCAGTACTAAATATAGTTTCACAACTATTATTGTTTATCTTCTATGCCTGAAATTTGATTTCAGAAAGTCACTTGGTCAGGCGGTTGGAATTGCAAGGAAAATACATATGATTGGGTTTGGGCACAGTGAAATTTTCCTCTTCTTCCTTTTTCTTCCTGAGCAGAAATTAGCCTTACCTCCTTAATTACAATCCAGCCCTTTGACACCCTCAGCACTCTTTTCCTAAGACTAAGAGATACCCTAACAAAGATCTGTATTTAGAGCCTTGTTCTAGGTCAGTGGTACTCAACCTGTGGGTCCCCAGATGTTTTGACTTTCAACTCCCAGAAATCCTAACAGCTGGTAAACTGACTGGGATTTCTGGGGACGCACAGGTTGAGAACCACTGTTCTAGAGCTATATACAAACCTGTAATATATCCTCCCCATGATTACAATATATGATATTTTACAGGGTAGACATTTTCACTAATTTTCTTCTCAAAATAAGAAACAAGTAATTTTAGCAATTCCCACCACAATGTTTTCTAAAACTACACAATTTTGGAAGATTATTCCCTATTTGGAGCTTCCTTGTACATGTAGTTGTTATGCTTTTAAAAAAGCATTTTTTTCTATGCAGAAAATAGCATTTTTAACATGAAATGAGCCCCCCCCCCTCCCACAAACCACTTGTCACTTGTAACAATTTCTCAACATTTGGAAAACATGATTTTCAACACTTTACCAAATGTTTCTTTTTTATATTCTTTCACTCAGTGGCATCAGCATGCTATTGCATCCTGTGCTTACACTGTCCATACGTTATGGGGCATGTCAGCATGATGTAGTGGCTTGAGTGCTGGATTATGGCTCTGGACACCACAGTTCAACTTTGCTCAACCATGGAGACCCACTGGGTGACTTTGGTGAGTCGCACACTCTCAGCTCCAGAAAACCCAATAACAGGGTCACCTTAAGGGCAACAAAAGAGCAACAAATGTCTTTAATGCTAAAAATTGCTGACCCCTACTCAGTCAGAGTTTCTAATCACAGGGAAAGCCTATATACATATGCTTGGTTCCCCACTGCTCTTGATGTGAGGATTGTGAGGAAAGGAAATTGTTAGGAACCCGAAAGAAACGTAGTTGAGCCCCTTTTCCCCACTCACAAGATTGCTCATTTTTCAAGAAAGAAACGACAGAATGGGGCTATAGTTATCCACACATGTGGTGCCTGAGACCCAAAACCAAAACTCATATTTCTCTGTTCCACGTTTGAGGGTGGTGACATCTCATCTAGAAAGCACAGTGGAACTCCTTATGGTTTATTGATCTCTCCTTTTCAGCAAAGCCATATGCTGTCAGATGGGATTTTCAAATGTTTGGATAATTTTACCTCATAAGTTTAAGATCCATTTAAAATGTTAGTGGCTGAAAATATGATAGCTTGCATGTGGGAAATTGCTGATGTGATAGAGGGCAACCTGTGGTGGAGAACGCAGTTCGCAAAACCACAGTTAGAGAATTAGGTTCCCAACCGTTGTAGAAGTCAATAAATTTAATATATTTTTTCATGTTTCTCAAAAGGGGCACAATATGAGCATTTATTCTGCTCCGTCCACCCAATGTAATGATTGGCACTCTAGAAATCCAATTTTTATGGCCTAGTTATGCTGAAAAGCTGCTTTATATGAGAGGCACAGAGTCTTAATGTTGGGCTAGTCTCTTCAGTGACTTCCATGGATGATCTAAGTGGAAAACATAACAACTCTGTAAAATAATATGAATAATAAAGCCTGGCTTGACCTACCTTTCAGAAGGGCATGGAGCTCCCTTGCCCCAATTAAACCAAAACGAAAATAGAAAACAGATGGTTATCTCAATCGGTGATGGTAGAATTAAGTTTTGACACAAAATGAACAAAGGTGAAAACCCAAGCATTCAATAAGAAAAGGGATAGAAAAAAAAAGAAAAATGTTTTCTTTTTTCTAAAATTAAACGTGGGATCTTTCCCTTGAGACAAGCAGAATTTATTAGCTGCTTATTTCGTGTGCCCTGCTACTTACTGTTGATCTCTGAAACTTATCAAAGCAATCTAGTAGATGGAGCTATGATTGGTGACCTGTTGGCTTTACATTCAGGAAAGACAATACTTTCTTTGCTATGTTTTTCGCCTTTAATTTATGATAATACTAAAACTTAAGGTTATGGTAAAATGACTGAGTCTGCTGTCCTATACTCGAGTCCAACTGAATTAAATAGACATCAGTAGTTATTGTACTCATGAAGAACTACATTTGGTCGAACAATATCCAACCAGGTTTGCATTTGAAATCTGGTCTCTTTAAATATTCTTCAGGAAAAACTCAGCCCTTGAAATGCTAGATTAGAAAAATAATTGGATAGCATAAAACATTAGAAATTCACCTTTTCCCTCTCTCTCATTCTTCTTTTTCTATTTTCCTTTCTGAAATGTAACTGTTTGTCTGTCCCACAAAGGCAGTTATTGATCTACCTCCCTGTCCTTCCTCCCTGCAGATAAAAAAAAGTTTTTTTTATTTGTAGTTTTCCCACTTTCGGAGCGGGGTGGCTGCTCCTGGATATATTAGCACTGTAGAGGAAAGCCAATGACCTATATAGCTACCAGGGTGATCTGGAGGCAAGATAATTATCTCTTTTGTGGTATTTCCCCAATGTCAGGGCTGGATGTTTTTGGACTTTTGTTCCCATCATCCTCAGTCAGATTGGTCAGTGGTTAAGATATTACTAGGGCAACAAGATTTACAGTGTCATGGGCCCCTTGGTGGCAAAGCGGGTTAAACTGCTGAGTTGCTGAACTTGCTGACCAAAAGGTTGGTGGTTTGAATCTGGGGAGCAAGGTGAGCTCCCGCTGTTATCCTAGCTCCTGCCAAGCTAGCAGTAGAAAACATGCAAATGTGAGTAGGTCAATAGGTACTGCTTCTGCAGGAAGGTAATGGTGCTCCAGGCAGTCATGCTGGCCACATGACCTCGGAGGCATCTACAGACAATGCCAGCTTTTCAGCTTAGGAATGGAGACAAGCACCACCTTCCAGAGTCAGACATGACTAGATGAAATGTCAGGGGAAACCTTTACCTTTACCATTAGGCAATGGAGACTGGGAGTTTTGAACTTTACAGAAGCTATTTATTATTATTATGGGTTCTTATACCCCGCCCTTCTCACCCCGGGGGGGACTCAGGGCGGCTTACAAAAGCAAGGCACAATTTGATGCCCGCGTCACAAGACAATCAATACAAAATTATTACAAATTCATAGTTAACAACAATTCATACATTATACCAATAAAATCAATAAAATCAATAAAAAGCCCCATACAAACCCAAATCCTCCTCCCACATGGTCAGCGTTCACTAACTCATAGATCTCATTTTCAATTCCACTTCTTCAATCCTGCTGGTCGTATTCATCTGATTTAATTGCGAGATTGCCCGAAGGCCTGGTCCCAAAGCCACGTCTTCACCCTCCTCCTGAAGGAGAGGAGGGATGATGATGCCCTGATTTCCCCCGGGAGTGAGTTCCACAGGTGAGGGGCCACCACTGAGAAAGCCCTGCTCCTCGTCCCCACCAGCCTCACTTGTGACAGTGGTGGGGTCGAGAGCAGTGCCTCCCCAGCTGATCTCAAACTCCGGGGTGGGACGTAAAGGGAGATACGTTCGGACAGATACACTGGACCGGAACCGTACAGGGTTTTGTAGGTCTTAGGCTATCTAAGATGCCTAATAGGCATGGGCAATCCAAGGTTCTAAATGGTTCTAAAGTAGTTACAAAACTAGGAGGTACTGGTGCTTTGCTTCTACAGTGTTGCTAAAGTTATAAATGGTAGTTCCTAATTGGTTCTGTCATAAAAATTGCCAGTAACGAAATAATAACGAAATTTTGAAAGTTTTGTTAGAGTTCTGAAATTTTTACCACCAGAACTTTAGCAACACTGTAGAAGCAAAGCACCAGCACCCCCTAGTTTTATAAGTACTTTGGAACCATTTAGAACTATGGATTGCCCATGCCTAATGTCTAATCTATTTTAGTGGGGTGCTTCAACACCTTGGATCACT